GCAGGCAGGCTGGCAGAGAGGGAGGGAGGTTGGCAGGCAGTCTGGCAGAGAGGGAGGGAGGTTGGCAGGCAGGCTGGCAGAGTGGGAGGGAGGTTGGCAGGCAGGCTGGCAGAGAGAGGGGGAGGTTGGCAGGCAGTCTGGCAGAGGGAGGGAGGTTGGCAGGCAGGCTGGCAGAGAGGGAGGGAGGTTGGCAGGCAGGCTGGCAGAGAGGGAGGGAGGTTGGCAGGCAGGCTGGCAGAGAGGGAGGTTGGCAGGCAGGCTGGCAGAGAGGGAGGGAGGTTGGCAGGCAGTCTGGCAGAGAGGGAGGGAGGTTGGCAGGCAGGCTGGCAGAGAGGGAGGTTGGCAGGCAGTCTGGCAGAGAGGGAGGGAGGTTGGCAGGCAGGCTGGCAGAGAGGGAGGGAGGTTGGCAGGCAGTCTGGCAGAGAGGGAGGGAGGTTGGCAGGCAGGCTGGCAGAGAGGGAGGGAGGTTGGCAGGCAGGCTGGCAGAGAGGGAGGGAGGTTGGCAGGCAGGCTAGCAGACAGGGAGGGAGGTTGGCAGGCAGGCTGGCAGAGAGGGAGGGAGGGTGGCAGAGAGGGAGGGAGGTTGGGAGGGAGGTTGGCAGGCAGGCTGGCAGAGAGGGAGGGAGGTTGGCAGGCAGTCTGGCAGAGAGGGAGGGAGGTTGGCAGGCAGTCTGGCAGAGAGGAAGGGAGGTTGGCAGAGAGGGAGGGAGGTTGGCAGGCAGTCTGGCAGAGAGGGAGGCAGGCTGGCAGAGAGGGAGGGAGGCTGGCAGGCAGGCTGGCAGAGAGGGAGGGAGGTTGGCAGGCAGGCTGGCAGAGAGGGAGGGAGGCTGGCAGGCAGTCTGGCAGAGAGGGAGGGAGGTTGGCATGCAGGCTGGCAGAGAGGGAGGGAGGTTGGCATGCAGGCTGGCAGAGAGGGAGGGAGGTTGGCAGGCAGGCTGGCAGAGAGGGAGGGAGGCTGGCAGGCAGGCTGGCAGAGAGGGAGGGAGGCTGGCAGGCAGTCTGGCAGAGAGGGAGGGAGGCTGGCAGGCAGTCTGGCAGAGAGGGAGGGAGGCTGGCAGGCAGGCTGGCAGAGAGGGAGGGAGGCTGGCAGAAAGGGAGGTTGGCAGGCAGGCTGGCAGAGAGGGAAGGAGGTTGGCAGGCAAGCTGGCAGAGAGGGAGGGAGGCTAGCAGAGAGGGAGGGAGGTTGGCAGGCAGGCTGGCAGAGAGGGAGGGAGGTTGGCAGGCAGGCTGGCAGAGAGGGAGGGAGGTTGGCAGGCAGGCTGGCAGAGAGGGAGGGAGGTTGGCAGGCAGGCTGGCAGAGAGGGAGGGAGGTTGGCAGGCAGTCTGGCAGAGAGGGAGGGAGGTTGGCAGGCATGCTGGCAGAGAGGGAGGGAGGTTGGCAGGCAGGCTGGCAGAGTGGGAGGGAGGCTGGCAGGCAGTCTGGCAGAGTGGGAGGGAGGTTGGCAGAGAGGGAGGGAGGTTGGCATGCAGGCTGGCAGAGAGGGAGGGAGGTTGGCAGGCAGTCTGGCAGATAGGGAGGTTGGCAGGCAGGCTGGCAGAGAGGGAGGGAGGTTGGCAGGCAGGCTGGCAGAGTGGGAGGGAGGCTGGCAGCACTAGGGAGTGCCCAGGGAAGGGAATCCTGAACACATGTAGCTCCAAGTGCACTAAACTCCTGGTCCACAGACACAAATGTGCAAGAAATAGCCACCAGCAAAAAATATAACCCCCCCCCCAAAAAAAAAAAGGGGCCAAAGTGACAGTGGCAGACCCAGAATGCATCAGAGAAGAACTGATAGTGGAGTGGCTTGTGAGCTGTGGACCCCCTTCCCTCCTCCCCTTAAACAAGGGAAAGGGTAGGGCGAACGAGTGGGCACTAGTTTTGTAGCATTTTTGATAATTTGTTTACATTGTTTTGGGAGTTCTATGGCCACTTTTGAGCCAGAAGGTCTTGGAGGCAGCCAACTGTGGTTTGTTTTTACACTGACTTTCTGGGTGCCTTCCTCAGTGGTGGCATATATGATTAACTTAATTTAAAAATGTCACAGCTCCCTTCGCTTCCGTGAGAGAACCAGGTTCTGGCACTGGGTCCCCTGTAAGCCAGAGAATTCCATACCTGATGGCACCTACATTGAAGACAGTAGCTTCAGGGGCAGAGAACCTCACAAGTCAAAAAGCACCAGAAAATCCAGAAAATTTGGTAGAAAGAGGATGGTTTGTAGTTGAGTGAATGTGTACCTTTATTAATAGTAAACCATAATAGAAAAATCCATAAAAAACCAACGTTGATTGTAATGAAACGCCATTTTCTGGGTGAGCTCAGGAGGTTCCCTGTAGCTAATCGGGCTAATGTACTTTATATTAGACCGGGACATTAGCTATGGAGTTCAGACCTGTGAGAGATCAGCACCAGAACCTGGCCCTTTCAGAGAGGTTTCAGGGAGCAATGGCCCTGGAAAACCCCCTTATGGTTGGGGTTTTCCTTATCTGCCATTGATCGGAGTTAGGCACCCAGAAAGGTAGGCATAACAAAACAAACCCCACATGGTAAGAAACTAAAACAAAAAAACGAACAGAGAGGTAGAAACTCCCTACAATCCCAAAGAAACAAGCAAACATCACACTTTACTGCTGCGCAGCTTGTCTGCACAGCCCTCCCCTCCTTGGGAGGGGGTGGGGAGGCTCCAGACCTCACCGCGGCGGCTGCCTAGCATCAGTTCGGAAGTTAAGCTTCAACCAAAGAGAAGGAAAAAAGGGACTTACCCGGGAGGCGGCCGCCACAAACTCCTCAACGCAAAGTTGAGACAACTGGCTGCAACCTGCGACCCAAAGCAACACAAGAATGCCCAGGAACAGACACGTTCACCAAATAACAGGCGGCCAGGACCCTGTTCGATCTCCAAAATCCACGCGCCCGAATATGAGCCCAAGACATGTTACCGAACACGGCAGCCCAAGCTGCAAACTTCCAAACGTCATGGGGACGAAGATAGACTGCAGGCTGACTAGACTTAATAACCCTGCAGACAACCTGGGAGACCCGAGCCCTGGCACAGAGAATGAGGGAAACTGGATCAACCCAAAGCCACCCCAGCCAAGGCGCGCAGGTAATGGCGAAGAGGCACAACTGGACACAACACATGATGCACCCCCGGCCAAACCAAGCATCAATGACCCAAGGGCCCCTCCAGAAAGCAGCCATCTCATTCTTTGCCAGAAAAGACGGAGAAGACTACAAACGTACAAACCTACCCCCAGGACCAAAAGAGCAGAAACTCCTGCGCTGGAGGCCAGAGAAGAGCATGAAGCTCCCCTACCCAACTCCCAGAGGCCAATGCCAACAAAAACAGGGCCTTGGAAAAACAATCTTGGACCAAAGGGGCCACCACAAACCGAGGAGAGGAAAGATATGAGAGCACCCTGTCCAAGGACCAGGACGGCTCAGGAGGTGCATGAGCAGACCGGAGGTGAAACATAGCACAAGAAAGCTTACAGAACGGGTCGGATGTGACGTCCACCCCGAACACAAGCTGGAGCGGCTCCTCCAGCACCGCATGATACAAGGCGACAGAATTAGGCATCAAATGACAGTCCTGAAAAAGCCAAGAAAGAAAGGAAAAGACAACCCGACACAAAAGAGAAGACAACTTACGAAGAGCAAGAAAATGGCGAAAAGAATGCCAGGAAACTTCATACTGTCGCTGAGACGAAGCTCTCAGGTGGGACACCATCAACGAAGCCACCTGATCACCATACAAATGGTGATACACCCACGTCAAAAAAGACCAGATGCGAAGAGCAGAAGAGGTTGAACCACCCCCGTACCGGAACGGTACGACCTGCTAAAAAAAGCAGAACCGCAGGAAACGCCCCGGGTTTGGACACAGAGCAAACAGCACCGGAAACCATTTCTAGGCTGGCCACCATGGGGTCACAAGGACTATTCTCCCTGGGAAGGTCTCCAACCAAGCCAGAACCCGAAGAAACAGCTGGACCGGGGGAAGAGGTACAGGTAACCCCACCTCGACCAGTCCTGCTGAAAGGCATCCACTGCAAACGCCTCGCAGTCGGGAAAGGGCGTCACATAGACTGGGAGATGCTGAGACCACGCTGACGCGAAGAGGTCCACATCCGGGAGTTCGCACGTCTGGCAGATCCAACGAAACGAGTCGTCGTCGACTGTCCATTCCGTGGACAGGGGAATGAAGCGAGACAGGCCGTCCGCCAGGACGTTGGACACTCCCCGAATATGAACCGCACGGAGAGCCAAACCCCGAGAATCCAGCAGACAAACCACTTGAAGGGACCAACCCCAAAGAGGCAAGGACCAGAGAAAACTCTTGTGGATGAGGCAATGAACCACCGAAGAACAGTCTGAATGGAGCAGGATGGTCGAACTCCGAGTGACCCAAACCCTCCGAAGCGCGAACCAGTCTGCTGCGAACTCCCAAACCGTGCTGTGAGCCTGACAGAAGGACGGACCCCACCTTCCCTGGCTGGTCTGGTGAGCACTGATCACAAAGCCCCAGCCGAGAGATGACGCGTCTGTGAACACATTAAGCGAAAGCTTGGGAAGGCGCCAAGGCACCGAACCCCCAAAACCCCGAAGAGGAAGCCAGAGATGCAGCAACCGACACAAGGCCCCTGGAAGACGAACCCAACGATTGCGAGAGAGGCGGAAGGTTCGACTTTTGGCTTGCAATTTATTTGATCAAAAGTAGTTTGTTTTGGAATTCCTATCTTTCTGGGTGCCTGACCTGGCAGATGACAGACAAAGACTGCTTCCAATTACACAGGGGGTGTCTTTAGGCCATTGCTCCTCGTGCCTCTCTTGAGGGGGGCCAGGTTCTGGCTCTGCTCCCCGGTGAGCTTAGAACTCCTTTGATCGACTGTTGCCACGATCTAATATATACACATCAGCCCGGTATAGCTCCTGGGAGCCAAAGGGGTTCTCCACAGAAAATACCAAAATTCACATCTATATGGGTTCTCTGTGTAACTGTACTACACAGCGTGAGCCTTACTTGTGAGCTTAGCAAGGCCAGCCTCTTGGGCAACATTTCTCATTACCACAACTCCATTAGCTACATCACTGCAACTTTCATCCATTTCTATTAGAGCACGGACACCCATCTTCTCTCTTACATAATTGGCCAGGTAGATAGCATACCTATGAAAGAAAAGGTACTAAGATTAGGAAGCAAGAAAAAAATTTTAAATTTATGATAGTTCATCAGAATTTTAGTTTGGTCTATGTTCACAATCATTCATAAATTAATAATATCTATCTATACCAAAGTTGCACAAATTCCAAACCTAATTATAGTATGAAGCAACTCAACAAGACAAGTTTAAGGGAGCCACAAGGGGTTCCCTTCAGAATTAGGCTCAATATAGGAAGAGAGCTAACCCATAAACCTGGTTGGTATTAAACAAGTAATACCAATGAGCAAGAAATGGCTACATGACATTGAGAAGACAGGCAGAAAGAAACTATGAGAAAGGGTTAATAGAGAAATGTAAAAGAGAACCAGGCCACTTCAATCTTTTTTATTTACGTGCAGATACGTAATCTGCACGTAAAGGATAAAATCCTGTTGCTGAAAATGGGGGAACAGATTCACAGAGAATGAAAAAGGAATGTGCAAAACACTATATGAACAGTTTCAATGTATTTTTGTGCCAAATTAGGTTTTAAGAAAAATCAGACAATCCCAATTTCAAAGAACATAAGAATGAAGGTAACTGCAGAAGGCATATTGACCCATATGAGGCAGCTCCTATTTATATCCACCAAATCTCATTCATATATAGTATCCACTCAATTTAACGACCTCTTATTTACCGATCCGCCTGTTTTAATGACCGATTTTTAGATCGTTAACTGCCGCCTTATTTACAGAGTCATTGGCCGTCGAATCTGGAATAGGGAATTAAGTTTACAGAGTCCAGTATGTGTTAAACTGGAGGCCAGTATTGTGTTTGTTGTGACAACCTTGCCCTCGCTAGGCCAGTGGTTATATTTTCCCTTCACAGATTTTACTTCCTCTGTTATGCAGCATTTAGTCAAAGCTAGTCACAGTTACAACCAATCAACGGCAACCATAATCAAGTCACAGTCAGTCAAACATTCAGTCACAAGTCAGTCAGGCATTCACAGTCACAAGCCAGTTAGGCATTCACAGTTGTGGTAGCAACCAGTCACAGTTTGTAAACAACATGAGTGTAATGATGTTTACAGAACACCAATGTTATGTACTCTCACAAATCCAATGTACCTTCATGTATATAAGTAAGTCCATCCGTCAGTCAGTCAGTCAGTCTATCAGTCAGTCTATCAGTTAGATCAGTGAGGTCAGCGAGGTTGGTCGGTCGGTCGGTCGTTCGCCAGTCAGTCCGACAGTCCGTTAGTCAGTCAGTCCATCAGTTCGTCAGTCCATCAGTCTGTCAGTCAGTCAGGTCAGGTCAGTTGGTCAGTCAGTCAGGTCAGATCGGTCAGGTCAGGTCAGTCAAGTCAGGTCGGGTCAGTCAAGTCAGGTCGGGTCAGTCAAGTCAGGTCGGGTCAGTCAGATCAGGTCATGTCAGATCAGTCAGGTCGGGTCAGTAAGGTCAGGTCAGTCATGTTGGGTCAGTCAGATCAGGTCAGTCAAGTCAAGTCAGTCAGTCAGTGCAGTCAGTCAGGCATTCACAGTCACAAGTCAGTCAGGCATTCACAGTCACAAGTCAGTCAGGCATTCACAGTCACAAGTCAGTCAGGCATTCACAGTCACAAGTCAGTTAGGCATTCACAGTCACAAGTCAGTTAGGCATTCACAGTCACAAGTCAGTTAGGCATTCACAGTCACAAGTCAGTTAGGCATTCACAGTCACAAGTCAGTTAGGCATTCACAGTCACAAGTCAGTTAGGCATTCACAGTTGTGGTAGCAACCAGTCACAGTTTGTATACAACAAATACAAATACAAATTTTTATTCAGGTAAAGTACATACATACAAGGTAAGATACAAAAGTTGATGGATTTATAGATAGAGCTAGTACATACAATGCCTAAAGCCACTATTACGCAAAGCGTTTCGGGCAGGAAAAACACTAAAGACTAAAACTTAATACTAATTGAGATTAAAGTATAAATTGTGTTGAGAAAAAATAAGAAAAATAATGAAAAAAAAAAGGGGGGGAAACATGGCAGAAAAAAAAGGAAAAATACAATTTGGTCAACAAACAGCATTGTTTAAAATCATAGACATGGGTTAACATTTAGGGGTGAGGTAGGTTACATTGAGTTAATTAGGTAGCACTTAGTTTTTATCTTAAACTGGTTGGGAGAGGTACAGTCTTTAACATAATTGGGAAGGTCATTCCACATTCGAGGTCCCTTGATTTGTAAAGCATTTCTTGTTTGACTAAGTCGTACTCTTGGAATATCAAATAGGTATTTGTTTCTAGTGTGGTGCTCATGGGATCTGTTACAACCTTCTAGGAAGCTTTTAAGGTCCGGATTGACATTACTGTTCAGCGTTTTATATATATAAAATACACATGAGAGGATGTGCAGTGACTTAATATCTAACATATTCAGAGATTTGAGTAAGGGTACCGAGTGATGTCTGGGGCCAGAGTTGGATATTGTCCTAATAGCAGCTTTGTGTTGAGTAATTAGAGGACGTAAATGATTTTGGGTAGTAGAACCCCAAGCACAAATACCATAGTTGAGATAAGGATAGATGAGAGAGTAATAGAGCATCACCAGGGCAGGGCGATGTACATAATATCTTATCTTAGAAAGAATGCCAACAGTTTTTGAAACTTTTTTTTGATATATTTAGAATGTGACCCTGGAAATTCAGCTTTTAGAAAATGAGAACGCCAAGGAATTTGCCATGTACTTTGTTACAAATTTGGGTATTGTTAACACTTTCGCGCTTTAGATTAGAGATAACTCGTCGCTGTTTTTTCTTACGATTCCGCATAACAGCCTACTTTTCTCATCCATCGAAAAAATATTTCTATAAATTCCATTTTTTAACCGAAATGGATGGGGATACTTTTGTTTTGTAGAGAATTTATTTGCGAATGTTTTGGTACCAGAATGAATATTATATCACATAAACTTCTATGAGTAAAAAAAAAATACACAAAGTATGTTTGGGGGGTGTGGCGAGCGTGTGGCAGTGGGTTCCCTTTAGCCGTTGATATATCCAACACGTGGGAAATATTTGTATGTGTTATGTATATGTCTGTGTAGGGAATTTTACTGCGATCACTGTCATACAAATTATAAAATGTTTCAACAAGTATAAACATGACAAACATCAAACGAACAAAAACAATGCGTTCGTTTCTGCCGCGAATGCATACTGAGCGACGTGGTTCTATATTTGGCGCTTCTCTTACACATGCTTTGTACAAATGTTATACAGTTCATCTTATAGAAAATTTTATTGCGAACACATTGGTATAAAAAAGAAATACGTACATAGAAAAGTAGGGTCAGGAAACGTATAAACTTTCCAAGTATGATTTCCCCCGTGTTTTCGCCAGTGCGCTCGCGGCTAACTACTCTCCACTTCACACACTCTTGCGGGTGGGCAATTACCTATATTAAACATTCATATGCATATGTCCGTGTAGAGAATTTTATTGCAATTCCAATGATACCAAAATTAGTGATGTAGGACAACTGTAGGCTTCGCAACCATTAAGAGAGTGGAAACATTTTGTTGCTGTTTGGCGCTCTCGGCGAGTGATCTGCATAGTTTTTTATTTGGTGTTGATACTCCTTATGCTTGGGCAGCATTTTATAGGTATGCTCTTATAGACAATTTCATTGCGAACACAGTGATACCAAATTTAAATACGTGCGCCTTCAATTATTGTCAGGACAGTCAAAAGAGTGTACACTTTTTCGGTCTTACCGTGTAGGTGCGCGAAGTGCCGAAAGCATCTGGGGTATTGTTTTTTTTTGAGCGCCGAGAGCGCGAAAGTGTTAATCCTGAGATTTATTTGATTTGAGGATTTATTGCCAAACAAAATATAGAAAGTTTTGTCAATATTGAGGGTGAGTTTGTTGGCAGTTAGCCAGTGATGGACTTTATTTAGCTCAGTATTCACTGTGACATTTAGAGCAAGGGGGTCAGGACTGGAGTAAATGAAGGTCGTGTCGTCAGCAAATAGAATTGGTTTGAGATGTTGGGAGGCATTTGGAAGGTCATTAATGTAGATGAGAAAGAGGAGAGGGCCAAGTATGCTGCCCTGGGGAACACCAATGTTGATAGGTAGGGGTGGGAGAAATTGAATTATTCACAGAAACATATTGGAGCCTGTCTGTAAGGTAAGACCTAAGGTACTGCAGGGAGTGACCTCTGACTCCATAATGTTCGAATTTAAGAAGAAGATTTTGATGGTTGACAGTGTCAAAAGCCTTATGCAGGTCCACAAATAATCCAATAGGGAACTCATTTTTATCAAGAGCTGCATGTATCAAGTTAATCATACAAATAATTGCATCGTTAGTGCTTTTTTGGGGTCTGAAGCCATATTGAGATTTGAGTGTAATGATGTTTACAGAACACCAACATTATGTACTCTCACAAATCCAATGTATCTTCTTGTATATAAGGCAGTCAGTGAGGTCAGTCGGGTGAGGTCGGTCAGGTGGGGTCGGTCAGGTGGGGTCGGTCAGGTAAGGTCAGTCAGGTGGGGGTCAGTCAGGTGGGGGTCAGTCAGGTGGGGTCAACCAGGTCAGGTCAGTCAGGTCAGGTCAGGTCGGGTCAGTCATGTTGGGTCATGTCATGTCGTTTATGTCAAGCCCTGTCATGTCGGTCATGACAGGTCAGGTCATAATGGTCATGTCACGCCAGTCAAGTCATGTCAATCAGGTCAGGTCAGTCAGTGCAGGTCAGTCAGTAATTACCTAAGTGTAATTACCTAAGTGTAGTTACAGGATGAGAGCTACGCTCGTGGTGTCCCGTCTTCCCAGCACTCTTTGTCATATAACGCTTTGAAACTACTGACGGTCTTGGCCTCCACCACCTTCTCACTTAACTTGTTCCAACCGTCTACCACTCTATTTGCGAAGGTGAATTTTCTTATATTTCTTCGGCATCTGTGTTTAGCTAGTTTAAATCTATGACCTCTTGTTCTTGAAATTCCAGGTCTCAGGAAGTCTTC